CAACATCTGCATGTTCCCTTGTTGATGACTCATCTTCTGTTAGCCCTAACCAGGCTTATCTGAGCCAGGTTGTCCTGTCCCCAGCTAGTCCCCCCCAAACTCCTGACAGGTCTGCAGTTGAAAACCAAATGAGCACTGTCTCTGGAATCCCCTTCAGTCAAGGACCAGGCACCCCCATTAATACTTCATCCACTCAAGCTAGTCCTGCTCATTCTGGTCTGGCTCAGGATAACACTGCGATGCTGAGCTCAAGTCCAACCATTACAACACCTGTTAGTCCCCCAAGCCTAGACCATTCACAGGCTAGCCCTCCTCAGACCTGCCCACCTGCTCCTCAAGATGGCTCTTTGCACAGTAGTCCAGTCGGCCGATCACAAGCTGGAGATATACAAGCTAATGCTAGTCCTGACCCTGCATGGCTGGAAGCAAGTCCTAGTCTATGTCCTACTAGTCCTGTGCAACCTGAGGCTAGTTCCAGTCCTAGTCCTGTTAGCCAATTGAGGTGTGAGGCAAGTCCAGGTCCTGTCAGCCCTGTGCAGTCTGAAATCAGCCCTAGTCCTGGTCCTATTGGCCCTGTGCTGTCTTGTCCTTCCAGTCCCCAGAGACACACACCAACAGAGAGGGAGTCTGCAGCCACAGGGGGTGAGTTTCTCCTCCTTTTTACTTCTCTTACCTGTCTCTTGATGTTTTACAGTCTCCTCTAGTTTTTCTCTTCCTTTAGAGCTTGTATCAGCATAAAACCTAAACAGTTCAGTGTCCGGAGCACAAAACCCTAACCCTAACCCTGCCCTCGGCATCAGCTGTAAAAAAATAAAATTCATATTCAAAAAAATATATTCATAGATGGGGGAGAAAGTTCCCATTCGATCTGTAATGAGCCGTTCAAATTCAAAATATAGTCTGTCAGCGCATGAGGCCTTCTAAAGTAGTTTGCCATTTGACCCAGCAGAGAGTGACCATTGCATGCACTCTTGACCTCAGTGAAGGAAGAGAGTCATCCTACATGAGGGAGTGTCTTCTCTCTGCTGTCAACGGCACACTGCTTTAGTGAAGAGTCACAGAGTCACTACAAACATGCAACTCTCCAAGATGGCTCGCAAATATCTGTGTACCTGGAACGTCTGTATGATCTGAACAGGTTGTCTTGTCAGCAGCTAATTTTGTAAATAAAAAGTTAAAAACAGTTGAAGGGTGCTGTAAGCAGACACATACCTTAACACTGTCCCTTATAGTCAGAAGTAAATGTGCAGATCTGTTTATTAGCAGATTCTTTCTGCTGATTGTACCATGTCTTTGTTTTTGTCCAGACGTCAGCATGTTGGAGGAGCAGAAGGAGAGAGTGAGGACTGAGAAGGAGGTAGAGGAGGACAGAGATGCCCCACAGCAGCAGCAGCAGCAGGAGGAGGAGGAGATGGAAGAGCCTCATCAGGCGACTAAGAGGAGTCCAGAAGAGAAGGAGAGTCCTAAGAGGACAAAGGAGGAGGGAGAAGAGGAAGTCTGTGTTCCTGCAGGTAGAGAACACCTGTAATGTGTTTTATCATTTTGAGTGATTTACTGTGTACGTACTGACCTGTGTGTGTTTGTTATAAGTTGTTGATTACTGTATGAAAGGAGAACTCTGACCCCCCCCCCCCCTCTTTCTGCAGAAGTCGAACAGGAACACCATCAGTCTCCTCCTCACGCTCCTGCTGCCTCCCCCTTTCAGCAGGCTCCTCCCACCACACAACATCCCTCCCTACCCCCCTCACCTTCTCCTCCTGCCTCCCCCCTCACCTCACCACCATCCCCTCCTCCTTCTCCATATAGAGCTGGCTCTCAGGAGGCCTCCCCATCCTCACCTCACAGGAATGCCTTACTCCCCTCCTGTTCCCCCCACACCCCACCTCCTCTAAAGGACCCCCCACAGGAACAGGATCCAAGAGAAGCTGAGACCATGAAGGGTTTGGAGGGGATGCAAGAGGACAAAACACTTTCCTGTCATGGGGCAGTTGATGGCAGCCAATCGGAGAACCAGTTTGAACCTGTTGCTCTAGCAATAGAACCCACCAAAGATAAGCACCAATCACATGCTGAGCCTTTGGAGAGACAGCAAGAGGAGACTGACGACTCTCTTAAAGTGACTGAACCAGCAGCAGCCACTCATGAAAAGGTTGAAGAGCAGCAGCCAATCATAGAGCAGTATAGTGCAGTGGAAGAGGAGCAGGGGGAGGAAGCGAGAAAAGAAGCTGAGGATCAGGACCATTCAGATCTGGATGAGGAGCCAATGAGCCCTGTCCTGGAACTGGACCCTTCTTTAGATATGGAGGTGATGAAGCTGATGTCCTCCTCGTCTCCTCCCCCCTCCTTCCTTCACCTCTCCTCACCCAGCCCGCCTCCATTCTCTCGCCGGGGGAAGGGTCGTACTCTCAGACCTCCTCCCTGCTCTTCCAGGCCTTCAGATGACCTCTCCATCCGTCTGAGGCAATCTCCCTTCTCAACGGAGGCCTCCCCAGAGACCTCCCCGGCTAGAACTCCCATGACCCCTCCTCCCTTATCCCCACCCTCACCTCATCACCGAGCCTCCCCCTCTGCCAGAGAGTCTCCACCTCTGTCAAAGGTAAGACAACCACTGTGTCTTCTTTTATTCCCTCCTCTCCTTTTCTGCTCGTTCTTCTATCTGACCTGTCATGATGTATTTCTGTGTCCAGCTTCAGGCTCCGCCCACCACTGTGCTCCCCCTCACTCCTAAAATTGGAATGGGGAAACCGGCCATCACCAAGAGGAAGTTCTCCCCGGGCCGAGCCAGGATCAAACAGGTGTGTGACCTTTAACCTGAAGTGTCTCTCATTCCCCACAAACAGCTGTTGCATCACTCTCTACAAACACACCTGACTCTTAAAAGAAAGATTTTACCTCGCTGAACTCAGAGTGATGTCACAGTTGTTTGTGGTTAAAAAATCATTTCCATCTGTGTGGGGATCATTTCTGTAACGATGTCACACACTTAGAAGTACAACCTGAGCCTGTCAGGGACAAAAACAACTTCTTGGAGTCCATCAACCATTAAGTTTCAGACGTTACAGTCTGACTTACACTCTCAGAGGATTATGGGATGTATTGTGTTTCGTTTGGAAAGCTGTTCCTCCAAATCCTCCCCTTCTCTTCCTGCTCACCTGACACTCACTGAATCTGCTGCATCCATTCTCTTTGTTCTTCAGCATGTTCACACACACACACACAAACACATACACACACACACACACACACACACACACACACACACACACACACACACGTCATAGCATGAAAATGTTTGATGAGTGATGTATATGTTGGGGTGCAGCAGCAGGAGGAGGAGCAGCAGCGTTAGCGATGTAGAGAGTAATTTAATAACACAAAATGACAAAGTTACTAATCAACACAATAGTTACTGTTGATGGCACGTAGCGGCCATGTTGGATTTTTAGATCGGGTTACTGTAGGTTCTTCGAGTCTTAATTCGACTTCAGGGGGGCGTTCCTGATGGCGTGTCAGTTGCTATTCCGACTGAAATACAAAGTACTTCTGGTCAGGTTCAAAAGGACGTATTTTACAAACTAAAATATACAAACCAGCACCGCCATAATAAATCCACGTCGTTGAATTAACTTTTATTCTGACTAATAAACCAAATGAATAATTCATTTTACAGAATCACTTGGCACAGTTTTGATTTGCTTATGGAGGGATTTTATACCATTATTACCTAGCAAACACAGAGAAGGTTGTTGTTGTTGTTGTTGTTGTTGTGAACTGTCAAAACGGAGTGTTTTATTCTGAAAATAAACCGGATGTATTGATGACTTCCTGTCCCGCTCGATTTGCTCTGCGGTAAATTGATGCGTCACACGTGTAGTTAGCATGTGTCATTGTGACAAGGGTTGACTCCTCCCAGTCTGTGTGTCCCAGTATGACTGTTGGCATGCTGTTGTCATGGTAACACTGTCTCATTAAGACATCTGTTGGTTTTGCCTGATTAATTTTCTTCCGTTTCCTTTTGAATTATTTTAATTTGTGGCTGTTGCATTTATGTTACTGCATTTTGTCCCCCACCAACTCTCTCTCCCTCCCCCCACCTCCCCCCCTCCTTCTCCTTTTCTCCCCCCCACACAACTTCTTCGACCTCATTTCATCCACCCTCCACCTTCTCCTCCTCCCTACCTCAGGTTTCGTGGTGGAGTAATCGCAGGGCGGTGAGCCCGCCCTCGTCCTCCCAGGATTCCACAGGGGAGGGAGGGTGGGACAGCCCTAAGCCCCTCCCACCGGACTCCCCCCTCTGGAGCATGAGAGTGGTAAAGAAGCAGACTCTAACAACTAATCCACTAACTCTGTGTACTACCACCCGCCCCTCTGGGATGTAACTGTGTGACAAACAAGGGCACCCTATTGTCAGCCTGCCCCCCCCACACACACACACACACACACACACACACACACACACACACACACACACACACACACACACACACACACACACACACACACACACACACGAAGGTGGAGGCATGGTCTCAGCCTCCTGATCATCTGGTTGTCATGGAGACGCTGCTTTAATAACTCTTTGATAAAACTTTAACTTGGTTAATGCATCATCTGATAACCTTAGAGCGGTGGTTCCCAAAGTGGGGGTCGTGGAACACTGTTAGGGGGGTCGCGAGATTCCTTTCAAAAACATATAAAAATGGAAAATGGTTTAAAATTGGATATTTCACCCATTAATTTGAAAATACAGGTAAAAAAAGTAGTTTCTCACAATAAATTACAAAAATAATATGATGGTGTTTGGGCTATTGTTTGCTGTTTTAATGCCAGTGTTTTGACCTATTCCGTCAAATGTGGGGTCCCAAGTATCTATCACCGTCATAATGGGGGTCGCAAGCTGAAAAGTTTGGGAACCCCTGCCTTAGAGGACTCCCAGAATGCAACACAAACGCCTCAGGTTACTACTCGCCGTTTACAGGAGAAGTTTATGTTTGTATTTAAGAGCTGACGGGACATGAAGGGAGACACAACAACATCATAATCACTAGAGATATTCCCAGCTGACGGTAGGTTAGCAGAGTGTGGCTAACGTTAGCAGTGCTAGCACCTCCAGTCTTGAGCTTAACGTCACCATGTCTGTCATATCTATTTATCTCTACAGATCAAAGACAGATATAAGATGATATCGGCCGATGTATCTGTGTCTGTTTTTTTTTTCTCTCCCTCACATCCGTACCAGCATCAGCCCCAAATCCAAATCGGTCGTGTCCTAGTCATAATCTGTTTAACTGACTAGTAATTCTGGTGCCGACTAGCGAGGCTGAAGACGTTTAAAATCTCTTTGAATGACCTGAATGCACTAAGCTGCTTCCCCTGTGTTTTCATGCAGGTTGAATATTTCAAATTCATTGTTCTAACCAAACTCCATGGAGAAAACGAGCATTTTAAAAGTTGTTTGCTTGAGCTGACAAAGCCAGAACTCAGTAGAATTTCTTGGTGTGGGTCAGTGGGCGGGCACGGTGTCGTGGTTTCTGAGTCCCCTGAGAAGATTAATACATTATCTCAACACTTCACACGTAGGTTCCCCTTAAAGACAAACCTTAACGTCCATTACAGATCCAACATTTCAGGTCACAGAGGGGACCCAGCCGATGTCAGTGAGGTCATTGTACTGTTGTTGTTTCCATGGTAACATCCTGCAAGTTTAAGTAAAGCAGAGACTTAATGGTTTCTTACTCCTCTTCATATTTCTCCTTCATCTCTCCAAATTCTCCTCCTCTCCTCCTCCCTTCCTGCCTCCCTCCTCTCCCCCCCCCCCAGGGTCGCGGTTCAGGGTTTCCAGGCAGGAGGAGGTCCAGAGGAGGAAGCATTGGAGGAGGAAGAGGAGGCAGAGGAAGGAGCCGGCTAAAGACTCAGGACAGTCTGCCCGTTTCACCTGGAGTAAGAAGACACACACACACACACACACACACACACACACACACACACACACACACACACACACACACTCCGGTGCTCTATCAGGTGTGGAGGTGTTGATGTGTCATCTCTCTCTGTCAGTCTGTGTATGTGGAGCCGTTCCAGCCGAAGGAGGAGGAGGAGAACTCCATGCACAACACAGTGGTGATGTTTTCCACCTCCGACCACTTCACCCTCAGACAGGTACGCCCCCCCACCCGACTCACTCACTTTTTGGACCTCCCTAACCTGCTGTGGTTGAGAACTGTCAATCACAGGTAGCCCCACCCTCCTCCCCCTCTTTCTGGTCCCTTTGACTCTTAATGGGTTCATCATTTACTAAACATGCATCATCACCATCTTTTTTTTTAAGAACCAAGAGTGACCATATATGGAGAAGAGGGTGGAGCTAGAGAGGGGCGACGGTTTCCCTCCATTATGGTCCCAAATATGGTCACTTCCTTTGACAAACATTCTTCCTGAAAACATGAACAGTTATCACCTCAGAGTTTCTTTAAGTCCAAGCAAACACTGAACAACACATGTAAGTGACCTATCAGTCACAGGTAGCTCCGCCCCTAGCCCCCCCCCCCTTCCTGGTGTGTACAGGTTGAGACCATCAACTAGTTAGGAAAATGTTGACTGAGGGAATAAACCAACATATGATCATCTGTCTGAAAGTGTAGTGTCTCTATTAGTAAACGTGTGTGTGTGTGTGTGTGTGTGTGTGTGTGTGTGTGTGTGTGTGTGTGTGTGTGTGTGTGTGTGTGTGTGTGTGTGTGTGTGTGTGTGTGTGTGTGTGTGTGTGTTGTGTGTGTGTGTGTGTGTGTGTGTGTGTGTGTGTGTGTGTGTGTGTGTGTGTGTGTGTGTGTGTGTGTGTGTGTGTGTGTGTGTGTGTGTGTGTGTGTGTGTGTGTGTGTGTGTGTGTGTAGGACATGTGTGTGGTGTGTGGTAGTTTTGGTCAGGGCGCTGAAGGCCGGCTGTTGGCCTGTTCTCAGTGTGGACAGTGTTACCATCCCTACTGCGTCAACGTCAAGGTCAGTATGTAAACACAGCCTCACAGTCTCATCACTTTACTCTCCCATGATTCCAGGATTTGTAGTTTTGTGACTGTAACATGTTCATTACCTCTTAATTTAACCTTTTCAATAATTCGATATCAAAGAGTTTCTTCATTCATTTGGTTATTTAATTTCAACAAACATCTTTTCCACATAAGATGAAAAGAAAAGAAGCAGCAACGTCTTTAAAAGTAAATACACAGACATACATACACATAAAACAATGAAATAACAGAGAAAAAATGAAATAAATATAAAAGACTGATTCTAGAGGTCTTTAAACTGTCGTACCACGTCAAGATTTCTCTCATGTTCAGCAACATCTAAAACGTTCTTTTAGTTCCATCTGTTGTTCTCTTTGTGGAGTTTGCACACTACCAGCTTTAGACCCCTCGTCCCTCGAGTCTCGCTGCCCACCTACCCTCCACCATCTTACTGAGCAGTAAACCACCGTTTGATTTAACTGCGTTCAGTTTCTATGCTAATCTGGAACAAACTCCCAGAAAACTGCAGGTCTGAAGACTCACCTGTTTACAGCTGCCTTCAATTAAACAGCTTTAATAAGATTTTAGACTTTTACTCTGCTCTGTCATTATTTTTATTCTATATATATTTATATTATACTCTATTTTATTTATTTCAATTAATTTCATTTGAATTATTTTTATTTGAAGATATTTTCAGATTTAATAATTTCAGTGATTTTATTAATGTTCTATTTTAATGTTTCTTTTCTTTCCTCTGTCCTGATGCTTTTTGATGTTTTGTGTGAAGCACTTTGAATCGCCTTGTTGTTGAAATGTGCGACATAAATAAACTTGCCTTGCCCCCTGATGACCTCATGACGGAGCAAAGATGGTAAAAAAGTGGCACGACCCACCCCATTAGCGTCGCTGTGTTTCCCATCAAAATGTAGAAATGTATGAGAAGTGCGTCTTAGGGGATCAGGTTACAGGAGTTTCTCGGTCTCTATGTTACCCTCTTGTTAACTTCACCGCTCTCTGGTGTTCAGATCACTCGAGTCATCCTGACCAAAGGGTGGCGCTGTCTGGAGTGTACGGTGTGTGAGGCGTGTGGCGAGGCCAGCGACCCCGGGCGACTGTTGCTATGTGACGACTGTGACATCAGCTACCACACCTACTGCCTGGACCCGCCCCTTCACACTGTCCCTAAAGGATCCTGGAAGTGCAAGTGGTGGGTCCACCTGTCAATCAATGTCACATGTCTGTTCCCTACCAATCAGCCTCCAATGGTTGTGTGTGTCCTCTGACAGCGTGTGTGTGTTCCTCAGGTGTGTGTGTATTCCCCTCTGACAGCGTGTGTGTGTATTCCTCTCTGACTGTGTATTCCTCTCTGACTGTGTGTGTGTGTATTCCTCTCTGACTGTGTATTCCTCTCTGACAGCGTGTGTGTGTATTCCTCTCTGACAGCGTGTGTGTGTATTCCTCTCTGACTGTGTGTGTGTGTATTCCTCTCTGACTGTGTATTCCTCTCTGACAGCGTGTGTGTGTATTCCTCTCTGACAGCGTGTGTGTGTATTCCTCTCTGACAGCGTGTGTGTGTATTCCTCTCTGACAGCGTGTGTGTGTGTGTGTATTCCTCTCTGACAGCGTGTGTGTGTGTGTGTATTCCTCTCTGACAGCGTGTGTGTGTATTCCTCTCTGACAGTGTGTG